GTTTTGTCATTTGAAATGACTGTGTGGGGAGAGCCATGCGTCAGTCAGTCATGTCTGAGTATGATATCCAGTTTAAAGCAACATGGTGATCAGGTCTGTGTGGAATCGGAGATTCTGGATAATTTGGGGGGACTAGAAAGTCCTTTTTTGATTTCTCAAAGGAGGAAAGAAAGAGCAGGAGAATAAAGAATAAAATAGCAGTCTGACACCCAGCTAACAGTTACTGGAGTGCAGCACCGTACCAGGAGCAGACATGCTGGTCTGAGACTGAAAGAGTGAGGTCAAAGGTTCGAATTCGTGTGCAACAGGCTCAGTCAGACGGACAGTGTCGGGGAGAGACCATCCACTCTGCGTAAAACCAAGATCAAACCAGCTTCTTTACTGCCTTCCCAGTTGAGCTGTATGGCGAGTTAACCAGCTGACATCTTCCCATTTGCAAACTAGTTTACAGTCTTAAATCGGTATCCATTACAGTAGAAGAATTTGCCACTGGACAATTCCAAAACACAGGTGAGTATTTCCTGAAAAGTTTGGTTCGGCTTTCAAGAGAGCAGTTCCGCCTTCGGACTCTTCTTCTGAAGGGATGGAACAGGAGCCAGCCCCAGACGGTGCAACCAGGGGCACCCAAGAGTTTTAGAAATACAGAGGTCTGTGGGCTTGCAGAGCAGAACTTTGTCAGCCTGCAGCTTAAAGTAGCTCATTCGCTGGGAAGCTGACGTAAGGCAGGCTGCAGGTGCTTTTATAGTGAATACTTGTGGAGAAAACACCTGTCGTCTTTAAAGGCCACAGGAAATCTGGCTTTCAGAAGTGAGGTCTTGTGCTGTACAGACCTGTATCCGGTGTGCCAGTCAGAGCCAAAAACCCACCGTGGTAGCAAAGCCAGGTACTGGAAGGAGGAGCATTGCCAGTTATACTGGTAACCACTCTGCCTCAGCACGTAGCCCAGTATGTGCTCGATTGGCTCACTTTGTGTTGGATTTATTGAGAATCCCCTCCTCTGCTACGAAGGCCCTCTCCAGCTTCCCACGGAGAGAACTCCCGGGGATTCTGCAACCGAATTCTGGAACAGGAGCCTCCCCATCCATCCCCAAAGCAAGAGAAGGACAGAGGGAGAAAATGGGGAGGAACACCGCAGAAGCACGCCGTCATACGAAGCCATTATTTTCTTTTAAAAGGGGGCCCTCTATATCCGATCTGAGAGTGGCATCAGAGGGGGGGAGTTCAGAAAAGACAGGACAACACAGGTCCACTGCGGGCCTGGTGCAGCAGCTGCTGTAAAGGTGTGTCAGCGTGCTTCCAGACTCTTCTGTTACAGGGAAGAGGCTCACACAGCATGAGGAGAGGGGTGACCTCATAAGCTGAGAAAAGAGATGAAGTCATAGCCACCTGACTCCTATTCCCGGCTGAATGCAGCACTCCCCTTTGCTACAGAACCCCATGTGTCAGCCTGTGTGTGTGTGTGCGTTGCGTGCGCGCGTGTGGCTGTTGAGCAGGATGGCTGAGAAGGGGAGGAGCTCTGTTTCCTCTAGTGGGTGTGACTTGAGCCGTCAATCACACAGACCCCTCTGCCTTACCTCACCCCCTGCTTCTGAGGCGCATCAGGCGTGAAAAACAGGACCATCCCAAACAACAAAGCTCCCTTCCTCGTCGGCAATTAGGAGCAATTATCACAGCATTTACGGCCTTTGATCGTATGAGTGATCGTGACTGAATAAGAGATCCTAAAAGGCGAAGGAAGCTACACCTTGAAATCTGACTTGCCCCATGTTAGACAGAATATTATTTAAAATAATAGCATTCATAATAATTATTTTATGTAGCGCCTTTCATGTCAAGACATGTCAAAAACGCTTTACCCTGGAGGTGACCAATCAACAGCATGGAAGTAGAAGGAACACAAAAAAAAACAGCATTTCTGTATTAAAACTTAGCAGACCCTAGCATGAAGAAATGTGTTTTTAAATGGCTTTTGAGGACCGACAGAGACGGGGAGTCCTGTATCATTTCAGTAGAGCCCTCCAAATCTCTGTAGAAAACATAGCATCCAGGATATGGTGTTTTATCATGGGGCACACAGCAAGCCAAGGAGCAGAGCTGTTGGAATGGAGCATAACACCTCGGCAAGCTTTTGAGCCTGATTGTGTAGTCCTTTGTCGGGAAGGACAAGGATTTTAACCCCTATCCTATACTGGTAGCCAATGCAGGGAATCTAGAACAGGAGTGATATTCATATGGAGGTTTGGATCTGGTAAAGACTGTAGTCTGTGCATAGTGTGCTTAGGAGCTAGTCCAATCTGGCGATCCTAAAGGTGTGGACCAGTTTCTCAACATCAGGCTCAGAACCACACTAAACACCTTGATGCTGCACAGACTCTGTGGTGGTCCAGTTCCATTCACATCACCATTGTCAATATTGAGCTGCAAGAAATGTTGTTATATCCAGGTTTTACCCTCTGAGAAGTCACCCGTAAGAAGAACGACACCTAGATCAGTCCACGTGTCCATCTCAATGTCACCAGCATGGAAATTAACACCATGGTGACAGATACATTAATCACCACGTTCAGTTGTAACACAGAGGTGCTGGAAAGAAATTGGCCCAGACCCAAGCCGTGAGGAACACCTGAAGTCACCAAAAGAGTTCTTCCTATTGACTCAAACTGCTTTTGATCAGAAATCAAGGCCAAGCCAACTAAGGGCGAGCCGAGATATGCCAGCATGGGTCTCTAAGTAATTCCTGTGGGCAGCATGATTAACAGTCTCAAAAGCAGCACTTAGTTCCAGCAGAGCAAGGGCAGACAATGCGCTTGAGTCCAGAGCCAAGAAGAGATCATTAGTCACATTGATTAGGATGATTAGGCTGGTTTAATGCTGTGAAACTGCCCACAGCCTGAGATGAGGGGCTAAAAAACTGGAATCGATGCACAATGTGAGTCACAGTGGTTTGAGAGCCCCTATCAAAAATCCTGGTGAGCCCATGGGTTCATCACACTATAACTCTGGAGAACCTGGTGTCTGATATTGTTGACTTTGTTTAGAAAAACGGCATTAGATCAGTTTCTGCAAAAAGACAGAGTAGATTTGTAGCCTGGCTCTAACATGCCATTGATATGTTCTCCACAGACACTGAAATTTTGATGACATTAGTAACAGCATTGTGGCATGCTAGTTAACCTGCTGTTTTGCAGTTCTCGGGTTCAATTGTAGACTTGGATGCCTTCTGTGTGGAGTTTGCATGTTCTCCCTGTGTCCCGGAGGATTTGCTAATCTGGGTTTTGTGTTCCTTCCTCCCACTTACCAAAGGCCTCGGTTAACTGGCTTCCGAAGGTGACGACTGACTTGATGCCAATGGGTGGCGCAGTGGTGAGCATGGCTACCCTGCAGCTCTGGGGCCTGGGGTGCTGTCTGAGTGGAGCGTGTCTGTTGTATTTTCACATTTTCTCTGCCTGCCCCTCCGTCTCCAGTCTTCCTGGTCCTTGTTCCTCACTGGGCTTCTACAGCGGGAGCAGCTGGCAGCAGTCCTCACGATCTCCCGGGTCTCCTCCGGCTGACGATACTGTGGATTTCTGTCCTGTTTCCCACATTGTGTAGCCACTTGTTCAAGCTCCCTGCCTCTAAAGCTGACTACACAAGTGTGATCTTGAATTGTGTCCGCCACACATTGCATTTTGTGACCATCGTAAGCCACCTTGGATCTTGGCCATTAATTCATTGATTGATTAGTTAGCATCACTTATTCCTGTGCATCCCCCATAAGCAGGCTTGTCTTGAAAGGTGCTATATCTACATACATTTTGCTGTATTTACCTACATTATTTTAACT